ATTTCTGAATCAGAGGGGATATAAAGCTGAAATGAACAGGACGGGACTGGCCTCCCACAGTGAGGCAATGCACCTCTTGTTCTTTGTGACCTTGGCCAATCATGGCTTGGTCTTTGATGTGAAAAATCTCAGAAAGCACTATGATGCATGGCTTGTTCCCAGAAGACCTGAGCATGCTAAGAACCGACCATCTTTCTTTTCTGTATCTTCATTGTAGCCTCGTACGATTGTTTTCAAAAAAAATAAGAACCCTCTTGAGTTTTACAATTTTCCCCGGAGTTATTATGTTGGAAACCATGTTTTTTGGATGGCAACAACCAAGCCAACAGTGCTGTCGGCATTAAAAGCTCCAATCAATGAAGGGGCCAAAAACCTCGTGTCATTTTGTAGTTATGTGCTGAAAATGCTTTAATGTATCGCCACAATTTCTACTAGGGGAACGAGAAGTTGATAGTCGCAGAAATCGTCGCTTGTTTTTTGCTGAACTGCCGAAAAGTCTATTCAAGTAATCGGCAGGAAGTAATGATAAGTACTCGAATGTCATTGTAGTTATTCGAATAATCAGCAGTAAGTAGTGATCAGTAATTCAAGTAGTCAATAGTAAGCAATAATTTTTTCCGCTTAGCCCTTTCCGGGTTTACGTGGTCCGGTTTTCTGTATCGTACTGTTTATCGCGTAGTTATGCTGCATCCACGAGCAAAAATTAATAATCCATAAGTTTTTGGATTGTCTCGAAGAAACTCAACTATTCCATAAAGTTCAATACGAGGTCTTCGAGTACCAGTAATAATATTGGATATTCGCAGTTATTTTATAGGCTGGCTACTGGAGAACCCTGATTTTCAAGTAGAGATTATTTATTTTTTGCATCTTCAGTTTCATGAGTGCACTAAACGTAAAAAGCGACGTTTTCGATTTTCTTCTTCAATTGCGATTGGGCTCCTTTACAGCATTTCCTTGATCATTTCAAGAAGCATTTACAAAACCTCAAATGTAGAGTTTGTAAAGTTATGCTGGTGTAGCCGCCATCTGGTGCGAAGACTAAAAGGCGAACTACGACGTTATAGTAAGAGGCTCATCGCGCGGCATGGGGAAACCGCCAGACACGCCCACTTTTGTTCGTCTGCACCTGACCAACTCTAGCTACTTCTTCTTGAGACTCCTCATAAATGATATGAAGCTATCGAGTGAAACTAGAACATGTCCTTAAAATTCACACGCTCTCGTATCGTCTGTTTTAAGGGGCTGTTTCCATGACCACCTCGGTGTAGCTGTCCCTGATCCACCATCCCATCACAAGTTTCGCAACTCGATCTAGTGAACTTACCTTTCATGATTCTTTTCTACGGGCCGGTGCCTCGATGCCGGGAATTAGGGGCTCACCACTCTTTCGTACGCCTTTTTTTTTTAACATACTAGTGCACCTAGGTCCATAGAACATTCGGTTTATCACTGCCAAGTTTGCCCGAGTTTTTGCACCCTGGCATATGCCAACGCCGCCTAAATAGGGTACGAAAGGTTTTTTATCTTCCCAGGCTTCCGCAAGCTGGGAAAATTAGTTTTCGCGCAATCACTGAGAGCCCATTCTCAGCAGGCACCTTGTCCCATTTTGCAGCTTGTCGTGGTGTTCTTCTTGGGTGTTTCCTATAAGAACGACGTCATCGTCGTAGAGGATCAGTCTAAGAGTCGATCCTTGTTGTAGCTCGGAAGTGGCGTCTACTGCTTCCGTTAGACGGTGAGGGAAGCACATCCACGATCTTCATCCTCCCGGTTACTCGACGGGTGATATCCTCTGCCCTGAATCTGTGGGACCTTAGCCTTCTGAGCGGAGAGTCTCACCTTTTGAGTAATTGTGAAGATGAAAGTTGTAGAAGCTCTTCCCTCCTGGCCTACTGAGGCTGAGCGTTTCTGTCCAACATCGAAGACTTAAGAGCACGACAAGGTTCAGGAGGTGGGAAACTGTAATATGTTATGATGTTTTCTATTTTTAACGACTTGATGGAGCGCTTTAACCTCGTCAAACGACAAGGTCATACTTCGTAAAAGAATTTTATGAACGACAGCTGTTCATTGGTTTTTAATGTATAATAAAATTGCATAACACTATGATTCGTACTTCTCATTCTTAAACTTTTCTATTTTCTCATGCTTGCTCATTCTCTGAGAGCCGGAACTGTTCAAAGGCACATTTTGCGATATAAGTGGTTACCGAGTATCCCCATGGGACGAGTAGGTGGCTCGCAAGTATGCCATATGTGGTGGTGCTGTGAGGTTAAAAAACAGTTAATGTCGACAGTTTACTCCTTCTTCTTTCCTGTGTTCGTCCTTTCAGTTCTCCTTTACTCCCCTGTCTCCGCCTCACTCTATTACTCAGGCGACACCTATGAGAATACATTACTGTTTACTCGATCACATTTGTTTCCCTCGAAGCCAGAAAAACAACCTGCCGCCAAGCCCAGAGCCCGCAGATGCGGTCAGCGGCGCTTATAGCGGCTCATCACTTTTGTTTTTCAGTACCCTCGTCGTTGCTCAAGACAGCAGCCATTATTTTCATTTCATTCAGTGCTTGTATTGATCAAGCCAGGCTTGTGCATCCTCACTAACAAAAGCTTTACTCATTTGTGTCATTACTGCGCCCTCCCTTGCACCTCAGCCCTCCTACATCGCAATCTCTGTTATTTAATGGGAGCATTCCGAAGCGTACTATGAGATTTGTAGGTATTTATTCCCATCGCTGTTAATCAGTGATGCAGCAGCGAATACTGCGACGAACGAGTTTGGGTGGTTCTTCGTCAAGCCTTCGAAGAAGTAGCATTTCATCCAAGGATCTTCAAGCTATACAGGCAGCAGTAGCGGTAAGCTTTTGATATTCTTCATCAAAGAGGGTAGGGCGAAAACAAATTTATCTAAGGTTTAAGGCTTATTTTTGCTACTGCCCATTCTAACAAAATTATTTTACAAAAATTTCAAATTATAAATCCAGTTCGTATTGGCAGTAGTGGTCATGGGAGTAGGCCCTAGAAGCCAGTCTACTACGTATGGGAAGGGAGAATTTTTTTGATGATGGCCGGTCAATATGAGAGTTCTTTTAGATTTTTTGATTTTTCAAAGAACTCATTTTATCATCATTTACGCCCTAGGCATTGATTGACTTGATTGAGGGTATCGATTATCGATTAGTGGATATTCAATCGCACTCATTTTTTCTACCCTGGTAAAGTAGTGAACCGCTGGTAGTTGAATACCTTGACCATTCAAAAGATTAAACATGCACAGTATGCAAAAAGATTACGTTAAGCCCTAGGGTACTTTTTCCTGTCTGAAGCGGAAATCCGATGGGTCTTGGGTTATATAGTGAAAAAATGTTGGCAGACTTTAAATCTGAAAATGATTTTCATAGGATTTTATGGAACATGGATTTTATGGACATTTTTTCCGTCAGAATGGATGCAATTGTAATGACCCACATATTTTTCAAAAGCTCCCAGCAGATAGTGGAGGAAACCTTATGTAGGATACCATTGCAACCCCAGCAAAAGTGCTGGAAAGTACCTCTCAGGAGAAAAAGATGGAGCTTGCCTAGAGGACTAGATATTGGTTGTTTCCAAGATTTGTCACGGAACAATTCGGAAAAACGCTGCAACTACAACGTCTTATTTAGTTGTTTACTTGTTTACGTCAATGTATGGATGTGCTTTCAGAAACAACATTATGCCACGTCATTAATCGTCTCTTTACTTATTGCTTTACCGACGTTTTCATTTTTTCACTTGTATATGATCTATCATCATCATGGCTGCCTGAAGACGGTTAGTCCACTTATTTTGTCCCTAATTTTGTCAATTTTTAATTTTTTCCGCAAATAGGCCACTTGACCAATCAATATAGATTTTCCCTTTGAATTTTTTTTTCTGTTTGCAAGCATCATTGTCTCATTGCTTTTTCCCTGATCATCCATCACCAACTTTCTCCCACTGGGAATGACTCAGAAGCTGTGACTAGAGCGCATGTCATCTTTTTTTTGGGTACGCCACGCGTTTAGCTCCTCCTCAGGATCATAGCGGTTTTTGGATGAGTTTTTGAAGTCAATAAATTTGGCGGAATATAGGCCCGACGCTGTAAACTCCAACTGGGAACCCGTTCAGGCCTTTGGTTCACGTTTTTTCTACTTTGAATTGCTTTCTTTCGTCTTGAGGAAAGAAGTCTATTATACTTCGCATTATCGGGGTGTTCGGTGGTTTCCCTTGCCCACATACTCTACAATCAGCTGATGTCCGGTAAGAGGGATATACTTGGGGATTTTATTGATCAGTAGGTCAACATTTAAACGAAATTACGGTTAGAAATGAACGAAAACACTTCACTGAGAGGCAAACACTGAGTAAGAGCGCTTGTGGACTCAAGGCGGCACCACTATCAACAGGAAAAAGTTTTTTGAGAAAAGTACATCACATCTGACAGAGCACAACTTCATTCCAAATAGTAAAATAGCTCTTACAAATTTGTTTCTACCAATCATGTTTCCTACATATTGTGGGTCGATGTGGCGTAGTGGCAAGAAGCGCACATCACGCATACATGGTCCAAAGATCGAATCCCGAATAGCTAATGGTCCAGAAAATCAGGCCTTCTATTACAGCGGAGATGGCTAATGAGACCAAAGTCGTCTGGGAGAATGAAAGCACTGGCTTGTACATTGGCTGGCTACAGAAAGCCATTGTACAGGCCCTATACGCATTCAAAACGCTGATGCGATTCTGAATGGAAGTCGAATGCGAGGCGCGTCCAAAGACAGGATTGATTTCTGCCGGAAACTTTGCCTTTTTTTCTTCATCCACTATTTCAACTTAAAATCGTGATTCATCAAGTCTTTAATGCCTTTATGTCAGTCTTAGGAAAGAGCTAATTGCAAGACTGGCGAGAAGGCATCGAATCTGATTCTTCAGGTTTTTTTTGGCTAAAATAATTAGTCGTTATAATAACTTCCATTTCACAAAACTATGGTGGGTAAAAACTTCTCCGAGAAGTAGTCATTACTGCTTTTTAATTGTCCAACGTTCTAAAACCGCACAGAAAAGTTGGGACTTCCCTTCATATCAAGCCTACATTGCTGAACAGCACGGAGGTGGGAAATAGTCTTAGCTGAGCCGGTCTGAATATTCAATTCTTCTCCATTACCCTACAATCAGATTGCGGTTATTGCAGAAGCTTTTGGAGATTGAAAGATGACCGCGACAACATAATAGTTGTTTTTGAAGGAATCAGAGTGCAGGCACATCCAGATAAAATTGTAATACTCGATTTCATAACTTATTTCATGTGATATTTCCTCGTGGAATGAATGAATGAGAGAATGGGATAGTGGGAAAACTTTTCTGCCCTTTCTGCTAGCTCCTTCAGCTTTCGGGCTCATCGTTATCAGCAATTGCCATCTGGAAGCGTTCCGGATTGAGGAACATTTTAATGATGGATCGCCATCTACAGTACCCCTTTGCAAAATGTTCTATGATATTCTTTATGATGATGATAGGCTTCGCTGTAGCCTTTGGGCGAAGCTCCCGCATTCAGGCAGTCACTATATATATCCTTTACCTGCTTACCTTTCTTTCCATCCATGAGCGCACCATGAGTTTGTGTTGAAATGCTTAGTTTCAGTGAGTTTTGCTTCCGGAGTGGCCCAAGCCAATAGGGACCCCTTCCTCTTGACAAATAGGGACACGGTTAATGTCCATACGGTAGAGTGCCCCACCCAAATGACTCAGAGGATGTCGATAAGGAGCCTTTCTGGCAGCAAAAACGGTTCAAGTTGAGGATTCCGCTCTTCTGTCAGTCAATTACTACCAATGTGATTACATTACTATGATAATGCTCGCCTGCATGTTGCAAGGATCACATGGAAAAAGTCTAGCGGAGTACAGCTGGGAGGTTTTGTCTCGACCTACGCATTCTTCCAGCCCCATACTACCAGACTATCATTCATTTAGTACTTCCAAACGTCTGGAAAAACTTTGAGAATTCCGCTACACTAGAATCTTGTAATCGAGTCTCGAGCCCACGTACATGTCGAAACTTAAGATTTTTCTTTATTCTCAGAAATCGAGTAACTGAATTTAATTTTCGCGGAGATTGACTTGAAAAGTTTAGGCGCTTACCTCTCTAGTAACACCGCCAATATTTGCGGATGCCGTACCGTTACTGTTCGACATGGTGGCATGGAAATTTACCGTGGTTTTCTTATCGCTGCAGTTGATTTTTCATTGGATTCTGCCTCACGACAATGTCTACCTTCTAAGTTCAACTGGTGGGTAAATTCACATATTATAATTGGACACAGAGCAAACCAAAGACGTCTACCTGTGAAGAAGTTTCTTCCCAAACACCTTAAGTCTGATAAATTGGGCGTGGCTACTTAGGTACTTCCTAATGGTGGACCATTTGATGTGGGACTATAGTCCATAGGCCATAAATCACCTTTACATCAGTGACGTTCTCGATTTCTCGTGCAGCTGCATACGCGTGCGTTTTTACACTTGAGCCATGACCGGTGAAATAGCCGGCAGGAGGAAGCGAAGTGTACCATTGAGTGGCTAAGGGTCTGTTTCATCCCAAGGCTTGTGAGAATGACTGAAGGACGGATTGCATAACTCGGTAATGGAACAAATGACTTTGCTTTAACATTTTCGTTCATGAGTTTGCGTGGAATGACGTGGGAAAGAACCGGGCGAGTATCCAAGCTTCCATTTCTCAAAAATATATTGGTTGTCCTAAATCCCACGCCAGACAGAACTCTTTCAAAACCTTGGCTGTCCTGCCTCTAAGAATGCCGTTTCTGATGAAATTAGGATTTTGAGAATTGAGACAATATAGACTGCATGGCGCAACCCAAATGGCACAGTTCACAATAATTCTGACCAGTAAGATACTCTTGGCTATAATGAGCCAAAATCTTCCTCTTTGAATATGGACCTCTCTTAGTTAGGGTTTTTTTTCTAACTTATCATGCTCCTTATCTACAGCATTCCTTGAGGCAGCACACACAGTATTTCATACTTGGGAAGCCATAGGTCCGTCCTAGATATAAATCCCAAAAATCATCTTTATCGCGATTCATGCCTTGATTTATCAATAAACTTAGAGAGCTTTCTGTGTTGTTAATCATCAGATCAAGTAGTACTACAAGTTGATAATTTCAGGTGATCGGAAAAAGCCGGTGAATGGCTTCAGTTCATGTCTACTGATCTGTTTACTGTACGTGATGGGCAGTCGTCTAGGCATGTACCGTAACGATCTGTTGTATATTCACTTTGAATCAGTCATTATGTGTATGGCTGTTATCTGTGTGACCGTTTGGCTGATTTTGTTTATTAGTTATCGATTCGGTGATTACTGTAATGGTAAGTCTCACTCAATGCCTACCATAACTCAGTTTTGTTAGAAACAGAGAAGTAGGTGCGAAAAGCAGGTCAGAGACGCAGAGGAGACTTTGTTTCTTTCCTCGTTGCCAGTGTTCATTTACTCAGAATCAGGAACCTTCTTTTCTTTATAAGTGAACGAATATTAGGTAATGAAAACGGATAGAACCTAATACCTCTCTACAGTTTCCTTGAGAATTCCTCTCAAGCAGTTTCGTTGATTCTTACTTTTTGCCACGGTCGTCTTCATAATTGAACCTTTCAGTCACTACCGTATCCGAGTTTTGTTTCGGAGTAGAACTGCATCCAACAGTTCTTGACATCGATCTCAAACATTTTGTCCGATCGCGTATCACTCTAGTTCTCTGGCCGCTGTTTATCATTTCTGCTATTTTCTATCAAAGAAATATCTATGGAAGAGTATCACGTAAGTTTCCTTCTTCATACAAGGGAACGGGTGGAGCAAGTGAAGTTCTTCTGCTGTTCAGAAAGTCTCATGGCAAGCGGTGTCGTTCAAATGGCCTACGTAATGAGGATTCAATGGACGGAAAATTTGGCCCTTAATTCATTGGACTATAAACGTGCCAATTGTGGATTTTACAAGCTGTGGAGTGATATGGTAGGTCTGGTCCTACTAGAGGAAGCGGCCAGTAACTACTTTGACTCGATGACCCCTATTTTAGGTGATGTTCCCTACTCTCTACTGCTCATCAACAGCTATGCTAGCCTATACTCAGAGGTCGATCTCATTGCTCTCGTGCTGCGTTCTTACCGTTGCTGCCTTCTTTTTCATATACCTTACAACAGTTATTGATAAACAAAAGTATGACTTCAGGTAAGCAGTTTTTAGTAATAATTGCTGTAGCTGCAACAACAGAGTAGCTACGAGAAAGGGTAGACTCTGCTACCGAGCCTTACTCGATCTCAGATAGGCATTGAATCGAATACCGCGACTAAGCTCTAAGGATGTAACTATCCGGGAATCCTAATTTACTTAGTCAAAGATGTGTACGNNNGAGCTTTGCGCAGTCTAACACTAGACATCATGATCAAGGTGCACGTAGGATCAGATCTGAAGCCGTAAGAATTGCTGAGAAACCTCGAATACGGCTATATTCCGGGAATGTCCCAGGACCATTCAGTAAGAGAACCAGTGGCTCATACCGAAGCACAGAGCAATAGAGCACGGAATTCCTCATAAACAAAAATAGAGCGTTGTGATCAGGAAAAATCTTGCCGAAACCAGTGTAGCACCAGAAGATGCCGTAGATGGAAGGAAGTGGCGACAGTTAGCAATAACACCATCCTCGGCATGCAAATTTGTTTAACTTAGCGGTAGCAACTTTGGAGCTCTCCAATTGTTGTAAAGTATCAATAAAAATTTATTCTCATGTAGAATTATTGATTTTAGGAGATCAAAAGGAATGATAAAAATACGTGGAGTGGATCCTTATTTTATTTCGGCAAAATATAGAACTGAGACCGGTGACACGTCGGCAAATCTTCTACTCGGTAAGTTTTTTTTTGAAGCATTCATTTTTTCGAAAAGCGGAGCATTTCAGCTGTCGAACTCAGCGTCGGCTAGGCATGGGCACCCTATTAAAGAGTTTATACGGTCCATAATCTGGTGTTTCTTGAGGCGCTTTCCAGAACTTGGACTAGTTGTAGTGTAGGTCATTGTACAGGGTCGATGTGTTCATTTCCGTTTTGAACCGTTTCAGAGGGAACGGGTCTTTAAGGTGAGCCCCGCCTATACAAGTGAACGCCCCACCCATTGCTTCGCTTTCCCGTATTTACATGCTAGGAGCAACGCTACAACTATTCATAAATTTCTGAATACTTTTGAATTGTTCCGAATCTCATCCGTCCTCCACCTCTAGTTCCCAGCGCTACCCTAAAATCAAGCTACAACTTCTTTTATAAGGCCATAGAGCCCCGTCGGACTGTCTTGGGTACAGTACACGACTACTTGCCCCAAAAGACCTAAATGAGTGATCTAAGCGGTGTTGTAAATTCTTGTCCCATGCACGCTCCTACGAGGGCTCGGATAAGAAAGGTTTGCAGTCTTGAGGGTTTCTTAACCTGCTAGAAAAACTTTGTTGTTGACGCATTGCAAAGGAATTTTCTGATTATTGCAGGAAGCGGTTACTGGGCAACATGTCGACATCCGAATTATATGTCGGAAGCGGCTACGTTCGTCGTCTTCTCAGCGTTTCAAGGTTTCTATCCCATCTACTGCCATGTACCTGCCGCTTTCGTGACAGGTTCGTCTACTTTAATTAAAAATTTAGTCAGTAGGTGTGAGTTATGTAGCGCAGACCACTTTCTACATCAAGATGAGCCACGCACGCAACTTTCAATTGATATTGTGATTTCGAGAATGCTATAAACTTACGCTGTGTCTGTTGGACTGAGGCTGAGCAGTGTCATTTGAGGGCCTTTAAGCTCCCCAGGTGCATCAAGGCACAAGGATTTTGCTAGACTGCGCGAAGCGGCTTAAATGGTTCTGGAGAGCTATCTAAAAGGGAGGAGGTGGATATAAATACTAGTTTGGAGATGGGAGAGTCCTATGAGAGCACCAAATTCTTATACATTTTTACAATTCTGAATAGAAGTCGGAAACATTGCGTATCCTGAACGGATCGACCAGCAGTAGTTATTTACACTGTACTAGTCCTTTTACCCACGAACGTTATTATTTTGTGAATTAACCAATATTCTTTTTAGGTTACCTTTTTGTTCGTCTGTGTAATGACGAATCACGTTGTCTGGTGAAATATGGCCAGGCATGGATGCAATATTGTAATAAAGTACCTTTTCGATTAATACCTGGGTTGTATTAATCGTTATTCTTGATAATCATGTTTTGATAAATATTTATTATTATTCTTTACCCTTCTTACCTATCCTGTCATTACAGTACTACAATTACTTCTCGTTTCGTTTGCTATCACCAGAAATATTTTAGTATGGGGAGGTCGTCTTTAATCAGGACCTGCAGACAGAACTTTCAAGTTGCTTTTCAATTCTGGCCATCCTCAGAGGAGTCTCCCAATAGTTTTCAAGTTACTGTATCAGAATATTCCAAAACCGGTAAGTGCAATGGCTCTCGCTTTGTTGCATACTGATTAAAAATAAGTAAAAAAACAGTAGCAGAATGTGGTGGCCAAATATGCGCAATTCGAAAATCCCGTAAATTAGTATGAGCTCATTAATGATATGGACTCCGGGTCCTTCTTGATTGGTAAAATGAAGGAACTGTGTAGAACTCGTTAAATTCTAATCAGGACCCTAGCAACTATTCCAGTACTCATGAGTACTCTTCGCGGCCGCTCGCATGCGGGCAACTCTTCGCGTCGCCTAGTCTGTCCATGGGGTATGGAAAACTTATTTATGGAGATTTGGATCCATGGTTCTCTGGAAACAAAGTTCGAGATAGAATTCGTATACTTTTATTCAACAACATGAAAATTTATAAATCTCTTTGAACAAATGCCAATGAAAGAAGGGGTACAAATCACAAGACACAATTCCCAGTCCACGGATTTTGTGATACAGTTACCACATCCAGTGCGGAAGAGAGAGCAGACGATAAGTAAACCCGTCACATATACGGTTTACCGAGGGAACTTTAACGAGAAAACCTCAAAGTACTGTACAGAAAGATTTGTAACGCAACACTGTAGCTAGGAGGGATTACTGTAACAGAAAATCCGCTGACCGTGTAATTAATTTATTTGTGGAGCAAGAGAAGTCATTTCAGTACCAACGAAGACCTAACTCCATCTAGATGAGGCGTGCACGGTCAACCATAGCGATGGGTGATACCCCACAGTTCTGCTCACACGTACGTCGTAAGTTCTAGCTTCGGACGCCACGAGAATCAGCAGGCTCACTTGAGCAGTGTGGGAATGGCGATATCAGAAAAAATTATCGAAGTTTGAATAGCGTTGTCAAAGGCAAAAGGGCTGAAATGCAAGCGAGCGGCGTCCGGGAGCCCATCTACTGTTATACTCTCGAAACATCAACAGAGTGACACCGTGCAGTGTACAGTTCGAGCCTCGGTCCACGGGTGGTGCAGCTGGTGGTCTTAGCTGTTTATTTGGCTGATTGGCGGTTGGGTAGGCTGCCTAGAGATTTGAAAATTTCCCAATACAGAAAATTGTGGTAACAGAATTAAAGTGCTATGGGAGACTATCTCAAAGTCAGGCACTTCCATAACGTCTTCAGACCAGTCCAACTGCTGTCCTCCAGCTCAAACAGCGAGTATTGCGTTTTTGTTCGTCCTGCTTGTCCGACGACTTGTACGCCCACTTCGTCGAGAGGCCCGTGACTGGGTGGATGAGCGTCTGGTGTTCGTCGTTGTTGAATGGGAGGCTCTATAAAAAATTCTTGTTACTACTTGTTTTGTTACTTAAATTTCTACTGGAATCACTGGCTAGAGTATGATTATGAAATTGGAATCGTTTTGCAGGAAGCGTCCACGCTATTTCATCTTGCTCTGGCTTCTTATGCGTGTCGTAGAAACATAGAAAAGACGCGCGCGGATGCTGCAGAAGCGGGCGCAGTTGCTATTTGAAACGTTTCCTTTGACTAACTGGTTAACTGGTTTCGTTTTTTTAATGGACGTTAGAATAGTCTGCGAAAATTAGAATTCCTCATAAAAGGACTGGGAGCAGGCAGGGTGGCGGTTGAGCGCTGGGAAAGCTGAAGAAAGCGCCGTCATGGGGTCTCGATGGTGTGGCTGAGAGCCGAATGTTTCCACCATCATCACTGTGGCAACAATTTCATTACCTGCTAGTGGATGGTAAACATTCGTAGTAGTACTCGTCCAACAACGCATCTTCGTACGACGGCGGAGGCGATGTACCGCATCTGAAGGTTTTTGGGTTGAAGATATATTACGGCGATTATAAGTAGGTCCAGTCACGATTTCTTGGAAACTGATAAATCAGCGAATCTGCAGAAATGAGCTCATTCCATAAAAACCACTTACACAGCTTGCTGCTGAGCCGAGTAGATGGGAGGAGCAACTTCGGTTTTCTTCAGCTTTTCTGCAGCTTTTGCAGCTGCTGCACGTTTCCGCATATTACGAGCNTGATGCAAAGGGTTGAGCGTCTACAATGAGCGAGCATAGGTCAGGAGGCGCCATCGCAGTTGCCGCGTTGGCGCCTCCTGGCTTATGCTCGTCGAACCTAGGTTATTCCTGGCCGGACCTCTGGCCCGCTTTTACTGTCTTACTAGCTCATGCAGTTTTATAGAGCAATGGCGGTAACAGGAAATAAAGTTGTTCCGTTGGTCGCCGGCTGAGTGCCAGAAAAACTACTCTCCAAGGCCATCGAGTGTGGTCGCACGCGATGACCCAATTTCAGTGCGGCCACGACCGGCACCATCCGACCCACCTAGTGGTGGGTCATATTGATGAGGATCAACGAAGATGTTGCAGTTTCAAGAGTTTAAACTGGTTTAAACCAAAGCAGAATTTAAGGTGGTCTGTGACCTATGCATAAGCCGCATATTGATTAATGCGCGCAGTATAGCCCAATTTACTGTAGGCGTCAATCAATGTATACGTCTTATACAACGTGTGGGCTGACTTCTTAGCGGCTCTCAACGTAACAGAGGACCACTCAGACGTAGTAAATGATAATGAAAAATCAAGGCATACTTTGTATAGTTTTGAAATTCTTCTCGCGTAAACGCGCTGTTATCCGTTGCACGACACGTCGAGTACGTCGCATTTCGACGATTTTGTCCAGCTCCCACTGTTTGCATTTGTTAATACCAACAAGCATCGCTACTACCATGCCAATACAGAAGATGATTGTCGGCAGAACGATAGAAGTCATCACCTCTTCAGAGGGCACAAAGTATTCTTTGGTAGCCATAATGTCTGAAAGCAAATTGAATGGCGCGATAGCAGATAACAATCAGTTCAGTACAGAACACGTGACACCCGAGCGGGCGGGTGCGCAGCGACTCACAGAAGATCTATATGTCGCGGACAATTGAAACATTACGAAAATGAAGGGAGCTGAAGGGAATGACATGTATTGAGACTCTCAGTTACAAATGTTTTTATTTATCTGTTTAAGTTTAAAGAAGTAGTTGGGCTGCGGATAAATTCAAGTAAATAAAAAGTGGATAAAAAATGATAAGTGAACAAAATACTCATGGCTACCTTGAAAAGATCTTTCAACGAGACTGCCAAACTAATGGAAATATGTAGGTCTACATGAAGGCAATATGCAGAACATCAGCATAAATCTCATATGGTTCCATTTGAGTCCCGCTTTTCCAGCCAATCGAAGCCACATGGACGAATGCCTGCATGTTGCCTTCATGGACGAAAGAATGGGAGCGTGGATTAGAAGCGCCGCCGAGGCGTTTATTCTATACAGGACATCAGTTTTCGACAAAGACCATTATGTCTTTGAACCCTTTCGAATTGTTTATTCGTTTGCGGGTATAATTTGTAAAGATAGAGACACAGTTTTGATTATTAGCTTGTCCTTGGCCTGCATAGTTCAAGTGGAAGTCCAATCATTCGAACATTTCAGAGAAAAAGTCAAATGCGTGGCGCAATCCCGGAAAAGATCAGCAACTCAAACTATTCATTTGCTTTTACCTCCTAATATCTACTTCGCATCGTTATTACCACAGCAAAGCCGGTTATCGTGCTTTTAACATCTGGTGGTTTCTCCTGACGCATCCGTTTGATAATCAGTATCTTTTCGGTTTATTTGTCAAGCAAATCAACTAGTGGTCGTCCAGGGATCAGAGGTTCCAGGGATGCGCCGTGCCTTTCGTTTCTGATCAGAATCGCAGAAGTGGAAAGGACATAAAGTAGGACCTGCAGAGATTAGTTGATTTCCATCAGAGCCTTTGGTTGATCTGATCAGTTTGAATTTGAGAAAAAATCCTAAATTCTTGACAATGAGCGAAACTAGTTCTCGAGGTTATTAAAAATTCTGTATGTATAACATATATAGAGGAAGTTAATATGAATTAGCCCCAGAAACGTTCGAAAAAATACCAGTTTGTGGATTGCGAAGTTCTTAAAATAAATCAGGACCAATTCATACAATTATTTGATAAACTCGACATTTACTAAGACCAATAAAGTAGAAATTCATGGCCCATACAAAAAGAAGATCGGATAGAATAATAAATTGAATTCTGAAGAGAGGTATGAGCTCCGTTGAATGCTCAACCATAAATCTTTCCGATAAAGAAAGAAACACCATCAACAGAAAAAAATAAAAACGATTTCAATACTACATATAGTGGTCTTTATTCATCATACGAGTCTTCTCTCCGAGTTCGGGAAGTTCCCCTACCATACTCCTCTCTCCTCCCGAAGCCCCCGGGAAATCAATGATAAGTTGTGTAAATGGCCCCACAAGAACGATACCCAGAACAATACCAATGGCCACACTGAATAAAGAAAGCTCAAAGCAACTAGGAACGCGAAGGGCAGTTGGATAAATGGCTCCACAAATGGCAGCCTGCTTCTCCTTATCGATTTCTTCTCTCCCCTGAGCCTCAGTCTCGAAAATTTTAAATAGCAGTCTCTTTTGATGAATGATGAAGCACCGGAACCCTCAGGCCACAAGACCTGACTGCTCCTTCTTCCGAAACCTCCCATACAGCTCTCTCCCATCAATCAGGGAGATCTACAGTCTCCGAGGACAGGCGCCATCAACTAAAGCGCTCCATTCTAGAGAGCACGCATTGCTGCCGCGCGCATTGAAAATCAGGTTGGCTGAGTATCTGCTGTTCGCTGCAGTGCTGCGTTGGCAGTTAAATGTGGAATTGCATTTGTGTGTCTTTCACCTAAAATTTCGTTTTCATTTGATAGTTCTTTTTGAAATCATACTTTCAAAAAGTTCTCCCCAAGGGTTCGAAGCAAACCAAGAGGGAGTCTGGCTCACATTTTTTATATCACACAGTTGTGTATTTTCGACCAATATGCGACCTCTTCCACGTCTTTCTCATGGGGAGAAGTCGAGGAGTAGTCAATATGAAGTTTTCTCTCTCCCCGTTAGTCTTACGAAGGAAGTTCTTTAACGTCATTTTCTATTCCGTTTTCTTTTACCTGGCTAATGTGTTTTTTTTTTCATAATTTTGTAGGAGTGTCGTTTTATATAAAGACTTGTTTACCCCTGGTTTTTTTGGGCTTTCACAACAAAATTTTGTTCTTTTTCCTCTGAATTTCTGATCTGTTATACTGTGAAGTATTAATTTTGATGTGGCTTTGCTGATCGCCGGATAAGCCTTTTTGAGTTGCAGTTGACATTGACAAGGAATACAAAATTTCCGCCAATAGTGTATGAAAAAACATCTCCTTAGTGAGGCGATGATATTCGTGGTCGTCTGCTCTATTTACTTCACTTCGCTCAATTTCATTCAGCTACAGTATAGTGAATATGCAGATTTACCCTTCTCCTTTGAGGTTGTCAAACAATGGGTCGTCGGATCCGAGTCCAGCGTAAGGGAGCTGGAGGTATCTTCAAGTCGCATAACAAGCATCGTAAGGGAGCCGCTCAACTGCGACCGCTTGACTATGCTGAACGCCATGGCTATATTCGTGGTGTGATCAAGGACATCATCCACGATCCCGGACGTGGTGCACCTCTAGCCATTGTTGCTTTCCGCGATCCATACAAGTACAAGACCGTAAAGAGCACCGTTGTTGCTGCTGAAGGAATGTATACTGGGCAGTTCGTGTACTGTGGCTCAAAGGGTTTGTTTCCTAGTTTTTTTTTTGAGTTTGTTCTTTTTTTATTTTTCCTAATGTTTTGCACTTTGCATCTACGGTACGCTGGGATACATAAATGCACCATAATAAGGCTTAGTTTACTGTGTACAAGGAGACTGAAAGAAAGTAGTATTCGCTGGAGTTGCTGATTGACTCTGTGATTCCGTCTAGATGTGAGAGGTTCGGTGAAACCTGTGAAACTCTGATAATCATCCGTTTTTTTTTTCTCTCAAGCATAAGTGAAACTTGCAAGTAAGAGCCATGGTTAGTCTGTGCTTTGGTCGTATTTGTGGCCTTTATTAGATTCTGCACAGTTCATGTTGACCCTTTTCCCTTTCTTTGAATTTTTTGGTTACCATATTTTGTTTTTGCCTTCCAACGCACCGTTTGGTTTACTTGTTTGTGTGATTGATCTTCCAATTTCTTCAGCTAGCGTACAAGTTGGAAATATTGTTCCCGTTGGAAGCCTTCCAGAAGGAACCACTATCTGCAACGTTGAGGGGAAGTGCGGTGATAGAGGAAAGCTGGCAAAGTGCTCTGGTTCGTTTTATGAGCCTTTATTTATTAATTTCCTGTTCTGTTTGGGTCACCCTTATGTTTTGCGTTTGCTTCATGCTGTCCTCTGAAGGTACCTATGCCACCGTGATTGCTCACAACCCCGAGACCAAGAAAACCCGTATTCGTCTCCCATCTGGAGCCAAGAAGGTCATCCAGTCTGCCAACCGTGCCATGATTGGTGTGTATTTTGAGATTTTTTTTTCGAGATTCGCTTCACTTTTCACTCAGTTGGTATCCTTTCGTTTGTTTTTTCCTTAATTTTTGGAGCTACTTGTACGGGTCCTCCGTTTCCAGGATTGGTTGCTGGTGGAGGTCGTACTGACAAGCCTATGCTCAAGGCCGGTCGTGCATACCATAAATACAAGGCCAAGAGGAACAGCTGGCCACGAGTCAGAGGTGTTGCTATGAACCCTGTTGAACATCCCCACGGAGGAGGTAACCATCAACACATTGGTCATCCTTCAACCGTCCGAAGGGACGCCAGTGCAGGAAAGAAGGTGTGTCGATTCGACTTCAATCGTTTTTTGTTTACTTATTCCGTGGTTGTGCATTTGGTTCAGTCAGTTTCTTCTATAATGAGGTGGTCACCAGGAAAACATTAACAATGCTCTATATGTGCACTGTTCGTTGCCTTGTTTAGGTCGGTCTCATCGCTGCCCGTCGTACCGGAAGAATTCGGGGAGGAAAGCCAGTCAAAGTTACCAAGGAGGAGGCTGTTTAAGCTTATTGTTTTTGTTGGAATACAAATTTGTTATAGTTGTTCAAGTATAGCATATACATATGTATATTGTTCGAGTTTTCGTGGTTTTCAAAGGGACTATGGTAATCTTATCGGCACATAACACGCACTCATCGGCACAATTTTCCATCTACAGACACATAAGGTGAATAATGAAATAGGGCTTGGTGTTCTCTCGATGGAATGCAAAGGGTTACGCTTTGTGTTTCTTGGGCAGGTTGGAAGCGTCAACAAACCTGGAGCTTTGCGTAGTTTTTCGTCTGTGCTGGCGATTCGATATATATTCGTCCTTCGACCGACCTCTTCTCGTCCTAGGTGCTAGTGAGTTACCCGAATTTTGCAATTTGTTATGGATGTCTTCTCTTTCATGGAGATGCATATGTAAAGGAAAACGCAGGAGTCAAAGAAGTTTGACAGTGATTGGATATAGGAGACCTTTGTTGCTCTCCGTAATTTTCAAGTTCAGTCCTCTTATGAGGGAAACACGTCCTAGTTTCCCTAGACAAAAGGTTTGCTCTAGTATAGAACAACGCTCGCTTGTTGGGTGTTCTGGTTGCTAGTCAGCTCTGATCCGAATGAGTTTGCACGTTGAGTTTTCCGTGTTGTTGGTCGCTCGATTCATGGCGATATCTAGTCTGGACGAGTACACTGCTTGGTTGAGATGATTTTTCTCGTGTTGGTCTTCGCTGAACTAACTCGTTAGAAGGAAACTTCCCTCTATGCTGCCCATTTATAGATCAAGTAATTTGGGATTTTTACGATACAATAATTACAACGTTTGCAAAGGGATTCTCTGAATACTACTATACATATGTTAACTGTGTAGTTGTTTTATATTTAGCACACGCTATTTTAATACATTTTTGTCAGAATTAGATACGGATATGGTCGGGTCCAAGCTGACCGAGCAAGGTAACCTAGCTCATAGTAAGGACATATTCAGACAAGAGAACCAGATCTGATGAATAACCTAATGGGAATGAATTCTATACCTCTTTGCCATACTTTTGTCAAACGTCACTCTACAGGCTTTTAGTAGTGAAGAATATTCTCCATTTCGCAGTAGTGTGGAGGTTTTGCCACTGAACAACAGCTTGAATCCTATGAAACTATGGGAGCGGTAGCTTTATCCACATTTGAGATCACATGTCTTCCTATGAAAGGTTCCTAGCCAAGGGGCAACGGTTTGAGAATGGCGCAGTGGAATTGTGTAGGGCCTTTTCTCACTTTTAGAAGTCTGTCTTAGTTTTCCCATATAAGGCTTTCACTGTTATTGTTTCTGATGGGCATCCAGGTCGTCGTTACACAGTAGGCGAGAAGAAATGGGAATTCGGTAGGGCATGATGAGAGCGGACGTTGATTGTTGTTCTCCGTACCACGTTGGGATTTGGTAGCTCCTCATCCGTACGTTCAGGTGGTACATCATTCGCGAACTTCTCAGGAAACCATAGCAACAAATAAAAGATTTTTATTGCAAGCTGTGTACAAGAAGGCCGATGATGTGTGATAAATGGAAAGATAAGGACTCTATAGTTGATGCGGTGCATTGTGCACTGATGATACGCGTACCGTCGACGAGACGATGTTCGTGTTCCGTGAATCAATAAAATCGATATCCGGGCAATCGACTGATAATGGCGTTCTGAAAATAGTAGCATGGTTATGAGATTTTCCGATTGATTCTGCTGATAAGTGACAGATATGGATACGATACGATGGGAGTACTTCTTGGGCTGCCAAGTACTTGGCAGCCTCGGCTAATCGCGCCAGGACCTCCCGACATCCCCCTTAATACCTTTTTGGTGTTAAAAGGAATACTTTTCATTTGTTTCATGTGGTATTTGTATGGTCTTGATTGACTGAACGGAATTGCCGCAAACAGGGATAACTTGCTTTCATCGACTTGACCTCGATGGCGCATTCTGACCCACAGATTTTGGTTGCAGGTTTCTACCGTCACTTTTGGGTATGCACAGTATGCCGCAGTAGGCTGTCTATATCAACACTAAAGGAGAGAGAGGAGGAGAGGTGCGGGAATGGGGAGGGTGGTACGGGAGAAAAGAAAAAAAAGTGAACTCACTTGGCGTTATCATTGTGCATCGTGATACGGACTTCGGGCAAATTCGTTGATTTGCGTTTCCGCTGACAAAAACCGCATTTATAGTGACAGTAGATATAGATGATGAGTAAGAAGGCGATGCTGGCCACGACAACGGTGAGTATGATAAGGACCTGATTCACCTCGGACGACAGCATCGCTTCTGGAAATAGAATATTGAGCACATTAGTCCTCAACAGGGTTGCCTATAGTTTGATATTGCATACTTCCGTCGCGCAGCACGGCTACCG